CACCCACACCAGATGGAAAACTCTACAGACTGTCGGTTCACACCCCATCACAAGCCAGCAAAACATCCACGAAACAAAGAAAGGTCTGTCACAGCCAAAAAATACACTCCAGACACGCCACTGGCACTAGAGGCACAGCATATATATATATATCGTCACAAAGTTAGAAGAGCGCAAAAGCAAAAAAGAAAAAAACATTTTTTCTTAAATTCTTCTTGCTTGCAGCTACCCCTGTTCCGAACCTCTTGCGTACAAGGCCACCCACGTGGATGTAGGTTAAGCCGGCTGCCCCCACCCCCGTGTGTCATATCGACCCACTTGCACACAGCCAAAGGGCAAAGAGGCAAAGAAAAGAGAAAGGGAACAGCGAAATACAACAAAACAGGGGGCAATAAGCAACAGCACAAAAAAAAGATCCTAGATGACAAGTCCCACATGCAAGCACCGCCCCTCCTTCACAGGCCAAACGACGGGACAAGACCACCCAGGACAAAACACTCTTGTCTGCAAAAAAAGGAATCCCAGATACATATCTATACACAGCAGATGGCCTTGTTCGTCATCAAGACGTTGGTATTCCTATTTCCACGCATGCTTCGCTAATCCAGACTGAAATACTGGGACACCACCAACAGCAAAAAAATATAAAGACAATCCCAGATGACGATTCCCACCTATAAGCACCGCCTCCCGTGGCTAAGGCGAACAACGGGAACCAGCCAACTAGGATGCCAAAAGGGGAAAAAAAACAGATGACAAGTCCCACATGAAAACACCGCCACGTGGACCAAACAACCCACATAAAAACACCGCCACGTGGACTGAACAACCCACATAAAAACACCGCCATGTGGACCGAACAACGAGACAAAACCAACCAGGATGCAGACAAAGGTGCTAAATATACCAACAATTCTGCCATAACCATACTTGAAAAAACGGAACCATACAGTAGGTCCGTAAAACGAAATACCCCAACAATGGGGTAAAGCAAAGCAAAAAGAAGAAAAAGAAGAAGGATAGAAAGGAGAATTAGAAAGAATATATTCTACCATAACCAAAGAGAGAGCCTTCTAGTACAGGCCCGACGCTCGATGCATCATCTACGAAAGCAGAGAGCTAGCAACGCTGGAGTATATATCGTCACAAAGTTATCAGAGCGCAAAAGTGGGGGGGGGGGGAAACATTTTTTCTTAAATTCTTCTTCCTTGCAGCTCCCCCTGTTCGAAAGAAAGAATGCCTGGAAGACCTGTGCAAGAATTTGAAAAAATCGTCCTCCGCAATTCAAGCCATTCACAGAGTTTCCTTGCCAAGAATCACCTCTCTTGAAAGAGGCGCAGACAACAAAGAATGCTATACATTTAATCTGGCATCCTCCCAACAGCTCAAGGCAGAGACGATGGATTTAAGTAGGGTAAGGAAGCCGTCGCTTTGATTTCTGAATATATCTCCAAGCTCAGAGAATTCTGTTTCGCCCGGAATATCCTGCACGCTCTGTCAATGCTGGAGCTTAGTTGGTACCTTATCCATTCCTGTAAATGTGTCTCTGCTCTTCTAATCCTTTATCAGGTCAGAGACTCATATAAGAAACCATCGTCAATAAATTTTTGTAGGTCACTACCATCCTGTGGCAAAAGATTCCCTTGGAAAGCCAGCTGCTCTGCGCATGACAGAGGCTCAAGGGGAAAATACACTTACCTTTTCAGGGGAGAAGGGATGGCAGATGTGGGCAGTTCATAGCTTCCAAACGACTGCATGTGGAGACTATCAGGAGGCAGAGAAGAGCAAGGGGCTACTGCTATATACTATTTGTGAAAGTCATTTAAAACACCTAAGGGCTAAAACTGCTACCATCGTCACCCGAATAGAACACCTGGCCATTACTGCTGTATCGAGACTGGAAATTGCATACTAGGAAGATTCCCATGACTGGCCGGTCCGGACCGGCCGATCACCCGGTCATTACAACCGGACCAGTCCCATGCCCGGGTATCCCGGTCGTCAAAAAAAAGGGCCCAGAATTTTATTTATCTATTTATTTATTTTTCGCGGGGTTGTTCCGCGCTCGGTCTGTAGACCCCAAATCCGGGGTCTTTTTTTTTTTTGGTGACTTCGGGCCTGGGGGG